GTTCAGGCTGGCCTTGAGCTCACTTTGTAGCCTAGGCTGGTCTCAAACTCGCAATGATCCTCCTGCCTCAGCCTTCTGAGTGCTGGGATTACAGGCATGTGCCACCACGCCTGGCTGGCTGAGTGTATTTTTAAAATCACATTAGATATGTGTACCTAACTATGTGCTATGTGTGAAAGTAAAACAGAAAGGAGATTACAGCTATGCCTACCAGCAGCACAATCCAGCAGTTCTTTTCTGTCTTCTAACAAACTTTTAGGACAGTTATTTTGGAAAAGAGCCATAAACTGGGTTCAAAAAAACTATTCGGTACACACACACATTAGTAACTAATAAGAAAGCAAATAAATCTTCAAGAGATATTTACTATAATTAATAATGTACTTGACTGCTGACAAGTTGTTTATATAGTGTTAATTTAGAACTAGTATTATAAAAAAATCTCTCAAACCTTTCACACTGACTTTTGCCATATATTCATGTTCCAGAATAAAGAACAAATATGGAATAATATTAACTCAGTTAACATTTACTTCCACAATACTGGAGAACAAAAGAATAATCTTATGATTTACAGAAAACTAATTCTCAAATCCCAAAGATTAGATAGAGCCTAAAAACAAAACAACCATTAGTGTCCAGGGAAGCACAGTCACTAAGATAATCAGGATAGCAGTGTCTGCACTTGCTGTGGCGATCTATGTAGAATGCTCTCTGGGTCTTTATATTCATTGGCTGGATTCATGACAGCTGCATGCACTTCACCATAGGCTCTGCAGACCAGTTCTGTAGACTGTTTTACGATCTGCTCTCTGTGGATAAGCAAACAAAATATGAACACCTCATCTGAAAAGAAAATATCCACTAAGAATTATAAGAAACCTTCATATTTGAATCACTGCGTTTTATTTCTATATTTATCACATCATCACTATTTGAAAATCATTGCACAACTACATACATCACTTTCTTGATTTGGGTTAAAGGTATTTAAAAGTTTGATTATTTAGTAAAGTCCTCCTCATTACGATGTACATACCACAGTGGTGGGACTCTGTTTTAGTCCCTCACAGTGCTATCTTTAAGGCTAGAACACTGCCTGGCATACACAGATGCTCCTCACCTGTGACAAGGTTACAGTTCATAAACCCCAATGTAAGTTGAAAACATCGCAAGTTGAAAATGCACTTAATAATCTGATCTACGAACATCACAGCTTAGTCTAGCCTACCTTAAATATGCTCAGAACACATTAGCCTGCAGTTGGGCAAAATCATCTAACTTATTCTATCACAAACAGGCCTATTCTATAATACAGTATATTCTATAATAAAGCACTGAGGACTTCATGCCATTGACTGAACACAGTACACTGTCGTTTACCTTTGTAACTGTGTCTGATGGGAGCTGCAAATTACTATGCTCAGTATCAGGACAGAATAGGACAGTGCTAGTGTAGGAAAAGATCACAATTCCGACTTTCTACAGTATGTGTATCAATTTCCCATCATCATGAAGTTAAAAATTCGTAAGTCAAATATTTTAGGTCCAAATTGTAGACTGTTAAGCTGTGATCCAAAATCAGTGTGTTAATTCTGCAAAAATGATTAATATCACCTAAACCTTAAATAAAGAATATTTAAATATACCAACATTTTTATTTCAGAAAAACTTAAAACTGCTCATTCACCTATAGGTCCTACACTCACACCACGTCCCAGATTTCCAAAAGCTGCTAAAGCTTCCAAAATGAGAATAGGTAGAAAGATTATGCACCAAGTACATTCTCTGAGCAGAGTGGGGGGACTGGTGTTACTGGCTGCATCAACATTCTGACGGACTTTGGAAATCTACTTAACAAGAGGAGGCCTCAGATATTTTTTAATCTACTCTGACTCCCTATAATTAATTATACTTAATAATGAATTCACCAAAATGATGCATACATTATTTTCATAATGGAATAGCTGAAAAATACTATAAACAGGTGTTTTGAAATTTGCAAATATCTTTGATAACCATTTTGCAACAAGTTAGATACTAGATTTTTAAAATAGTGTTTTTAGTTCCTGAAGGACTAACAGATTTCGTATGTACAATCTGAACATAGTGTATATATTTATAGTATATAAGAACATAGAAATAAGGTTATTCCTTCTTAATTGAAGTTTAAAGTCAAAGTAAGGTGCACTAACGAATATTAAATATAACTTTAAAAAAAATCTAGCGAAATTGGTAAATATAGAATGACACTAAGATTCTTAAGTAGTAGAGTTTTCATTTAAACACAGGTAAGTGAGTAAGATCAAGCCAATAAAAGTAAGAATTTGTAATTTCAGATTTTGAGTTTTGATGGTATAAGGCTTTTTCATTCCGTTCCTCAGTATAAAAACATAAGCAAAGGATTAAAAAATTAGTGTCCTTATTCTGGGAGAGAGAAAGAGATATCAAAGCTGGCAGAAAAAGAGAAGTCTTTCAGACAGTGAGAATGAAAAAGGCAAGGAAAAGGAACTGTTCCTTCTGCTCTGTCAGCTGGCTGCCCAGCCAATAGGATAGAAAAAAAGGGAAAGCTGGGTACGGCCCACACGCTCACCTCCACGTGATCTTTCTGGTGGAGGCTATGATGATATTCTTAGGACTAACTTCTTCAATGGTGTGCTACTGAACTTTGGACAGATTAATAATCCAGAAGACTTGACTTCTAACGGAAGCTCTACCACTCACAGTTGCTGCCCTGAACTTTCAGGACTAATTTCTCCACCATAAAGCAAAGTATCTAATTAGATAATCTCTATCAGATACTTTCAGCTTTTAAATTATACTTTTTCCCTTGAGAGTTAATACCATTTTAATGAACTCCTACTGTAAAAAAATCAGTGTTTATCTATACCCCCTGACACACACACACACACACACACAGACACACACACACATACACTTCATTACTTTCAGGAACTGGATTCCCTAAACAATGATATACCATAACCAACCATATCAGTTATTTGGATATAAACGGATGCTTCTGTAGTGCTAAATCAGTTTTATTCCTTATCTTAATTATTTTTTATTTTATTATAACTTCCTTTTTACTACTACTAGTAACTACTACTAGTAATGTAAATTTAACCCTTATTTTTAAAAAGTATATGTGGATATCCATCTATCTATCTGTCACATTGCCTGTTTTCTTGCCTGGTATATTAGTCCAAATTATTTTGCTAATTACTAATATTTGTGAAACACATAGCTTCAAATAATGGTGAATTGTAATAGTGTCATATATTCAATGCTCAAACTGGAAAATTTTTAGATATTCTGAAACTAAATCCAGAATGAACAACAAATCATCTCAGTTCAGTCATTATGCTTTTGAAAACTTGTAAAGTCTTATCTACTGTTCATCCCACTGTAGCATGGGCATCCACCTGCATTACGACCAATCACAGCCATAGCTGATGGAGGGTAATTTTATAATTGTTTCTGTAGCCTTGCTTTGAATAGGATCAAGGATATGCAAAAAGGTCAGACAAATGGGGAAAAAATCTTTTAGTTTTAATATAAGGTAATGGTGGTGAACGTACGGCACATGTGCTGCAGCCAGCTGTTTATCACTGAAAGCTCAAAAAGGTTCACCACCACTGATACCATATTTCATCTTTGCTACGAGCAAATATTCTTGGGACTAACTTCTTAAATGGTGCTCTATTAGCCTTTGGACAGATTAATAATCCATGCAATACAACTAAAATTTCCAAAAATTAAGAACATGATTCATACAATGAATTAACACATCAATGAAGTTAAAAACAAAAACCTAATAATTCATTAATGAGGAAACTACAAAGATGGTAAAGCTGGTTCTAATACTATTTGGGGGAACTGGCCTTTTACAAGCATTGCTGGTGGGAATGTAAACTAGTATAACCACTATGAAAATCAGTATGGATATTCCTCAAAAAACTGAAACTAGAAATTCTATTTGATACAGCCATTCCACTTCTATGAATCTTCCCAAAACAGTCAAAGACATCACATCACAATGATAAATATATACACATGTTTGTAGCAGCACAACTCATAACAGCAAAGGCTTGGAAATGGCATATATACCCAGCAACACATAAATGAGGAAAGAAAATGTGGTACTTACACATAAAGGAGTGCTACACTACCATAAAGAAAAATAAAGCGAAGTCATTTGTAGGAAAATGGATGCATCTTGAGACCACAATGTTAAATGAAGTCAGACACACAAGCTTAAGTATCATATAACTTCTCTTCTATGAGAAGTCCAAAGTATAAATAATTTTTTTTTAAAGACAGGTAACAGGAAACAGTGATACAGATCTTTTGCAAATGGGAAGAGAATCCAGAAACAGACAGTGGGGACAGGAGGGGGACTACAAAGAATTAACATACATTAAGTACATGACCTTCTCCTTAAGGTGAATGTAAACCTTATGTACTACAAACACATACTAATAAAAAATTACAAAGAAAAACAAGCTACATATGAAAAAGTTAACGTGCTGTTAAGAAAAAGCATAACCTTTGGCACTATATTTTCTACAAGACAACATATCCACATAGTTTGGGAACTTTAATCCATAGCAAACAGAATGAGACAAAGGTACACTCCCCTCAATAAATAATTCCTGTTTGGTTTCTTAACAATGACTGAAAACACTACTAAAGGGATCTGTTGTCCTTTTAGACTTCATTTACTTTATTTCCAAATTTTGGAAAAATCCAACATTCTTACATTCAGAAAGCAGTCTGTTATACTGTATCACATACCAAACAGAAAAGTAACAGTCAAGTCAGTAATTTAATGTTAGAGGAAAGAAAACAGAATTGAGGGATATCAGTTTGCTACACAATTTCACAGAAAGCCACATTTTTCAGTTATTTGTACACAAGGATAGTCTACAATGAGAAACTCATTTTGTCCAGTTAAAGCTCACAATGTGATACTACCCTAGTATTATAAATTCTGAAACTCTCAATAAAGATTAATATAGAGCCACTTGTAAAAATCATTCTCATTTTCAAGTATGTCCATAGAAATTGTGTTTTAAATAATTATTTAAAGCACTGAGCTAAGAAATGAACCGCTTACTTCTGGAATCACGGTGCTTGTCATTAATCAGTACTTTAGGATTTTTTGGTTGCCATAGCAACATGATACAATTTTCATTAACACAAACCTAGCATTTCTAAAAATAGCTTATTTTAACTTTCAGGCTCTGTGATCACTAAAATTGAGCTTTATTCTAGCACCATGGTTGACAGTGTAATCTAGTGTGCCACAGAAGAAAAGGTGTTAATGATTTAAGGCTGAAGAACTATGAAGAGAAGATGCCGATATGCTTAAAATAGTGATTAAAATTTTATTTCTCTTTATCACAACACAAGCATCAAAACTGTTACAATGGGCCAAGTCAGTTTTTTAGTCCATGTCAGATTTCTGTCTCTTAAAGTGAAATTTAAACATTTTATATGAAATCAAGGAACACATCTTCTATTGGCATTATTCATCACATATTCCATATGAAAAATACCTCTGAGCTTTCTTTAAAAACAGTAAATAACATATTCATAACATATTTAAAAAAATATAGTCTAGTGTCAAAGAAAATAGGCTCAGGAATCAGTAACAATAGATTCAAATCTTGGTTCTGCTTCTTACAAACCATCGAACCTTCCTTGGTTCATCTGTTCAACTTTTCTAAGCAATGTCTTTTCTGAAAATGGAAATCCTACTTTACAGGCTCACTGAGAGAACTGAGTAACCCATTATATACTCTGGTTGAGGATTTCAGATTACGGAGGCTGGAGTAGACAGTGGAGGACTGAGCTAGGGTAAAAACAGAACAGCTTGGACGTTAATACGACAATATGATGCCACCATTGGCCGGACCATAACCGCCGAGATGCTAAAAAATGATCAGAGGTCCCTTTTACACAGTTTCTGCCAAGTAATAAAATGGGGATTTTGATTGCAATTTTGTTGAATTTCTAGATCAATTGTAACTACTAGTGAATTTCCCATCTATGTACTGAATATGCCTATTTTTTCATATCTTCTTTCAAATTTTTCAGCAAAATTTTAGCTTCTTCATATAATCATCCAGATATATTCTTGTGTTTATTTGTAGAAAATGGCAATGATAAGGGCTTTTATTTTTTATTATATGTTGTAAGTAAATATTTCTGGTATATAGCAAGTGCAGTAATTTTTATATGTTAATTTTGAATATGGCCAAGTAACAACTCTATTTTAGTTGTATTAATTTCAAAATTATTTGTCTCATTAAATAGTAGATGTGATAGTAAGTGTACATGCCTTATTCAGAACTTCAATAAAAATGTTTCTAAGGTTACACCAGTAACTGTGACATCTGTTGTATATTTTCAGTGTTCCAACATGGTTACATGGTATTCTGCAACTGATTCATGCAGTGATTTACGTAAGGCTTCTCTTCATAACCTTTGGCCATAATGTAGTGTTCTTAATGCAATGGCATGTTTGATTTATCATTATTAAGGACATTTTACATCTTAAAGAACTCATACCTGGGGCTTTAAGTGTAACTTTCATCAGTACCAAATATTACCTTTTGATCTTTCAATAATATTCACGTTGAGTTCACCTTTGTCTCTTAATGTGGCCACTTCTGCTTTCTTCCTGTGTGACTGATTAAATGTGCTCTTATAAAGAGCTGTTCAGTTCTTCCACACCCCACTAATTTTCTGTGTACCTCTTTTCAATCAATTACTGACAGGAGCATTGAAATAACTATGATCATTGATATAAGTATTCCTTCTCAAGTCTATGAGATTATATTTCATGTTATTTGAGGTTCTGCTTTTAGATACACATTCACTATCATATGTTCTTCAAATTGATCCTACAATTATCGTGAAGTGTTTCTCCTTACCTGTGTTATGATTACCTGCTCTGGGAATAAATTTTTGCTATATTAATGAAGCTATCCCAGCTTTATAATGATTACTGCTTAAACTATCTATGTCTTTATACTTGAATTGAATTTCTTATAGGCAGCAGATAGTTGGACCATACCATTTTTATTCAATCTAATGATCTCTGGTTTGGAATTGGAGCATGAAATTCTTTGAAGTCTTAGATTTTCTCAAATCTCCAGAATTGTACAAGTTCTAGTTTTTTTCAGCTTATAGGTTTCCTATAACTGCTTTCTTCTTGGTAACTATAGAATAAAACATTCCAGTTTCTCTCATAACAAAAAAGAAAATAGTTCTTTAATAGGTACATACTTAATTTCTAGCATATACAACAGAGGAAGAGCCTTGAAGAAAAGAGCTCACAAATTACACCTATTTTCCCATACACTCATTTTAGGAAGCATCTATATTCTTTTTATTTATCAAGTTACTTACAGAAATCATCCTGAATCAATAAGCAAAGACATACTGAAAACAGTTACTACATGTGTAATTGTTATTTCTTTTGTACAAATTCAATTTTACACCACTGTAATGTGAACGTTAGAATTTGGCATTAAAAAATAACAATACCTTTTAACTCACCTGAATGAAGGAAGAGAAAATTCTTTAAAACTATTTTCTATTTCAATTCTCTCCCCCTACTCCATTTATTATACAATCTTACTTCCTGGCTATGTAAGTTTATTCAATAGTTTACTCCAAGGCTGAGGCGCTTAATCAAAATCTCTCTTGAAAGCCAGTCAATTTATAAGACAAAAAAAAAGGGAAATAAGAGCAACAGTTTTCCAAAGTACTGCTACCGTGGAGATAAGTAATATTCAGAGCACAGTACTAACAAAACAGGCAAGATTTAAAAACATTTACTAATTCTAGACACTTTAGAGAAGTCTGCACCAGGGTCAGATCAGATCCCGGATCCCTCAGGATGTGGAGGCAAGAGGAAAGATTGAGAACTACAGACTGTCAAAGGCAAATCATCTAGTCTTGATGATAACTTTTTTTTCAAGTAAATTGCCTGATATTTAAAATATGTGAATCTTTACCAAATGCTTAGGACCAAACCACTTACTTCACTGTGGCACTCAGAAGAAAGTTCAGCTGTGGCATTAGTAGGTTGTCTGGGGCTGACAGGTAACGATCAAACTGAACCTAAAAGAAGAGGAATGTAAAACGTATCTGCTAGCGCACATCTTAAACACAATCATCTCCTTCAATGAGTAAATCTTGGGAAAAATCCTATATTCCAAATAACTAGTTCTTTTTATTCAGAGGAGCTCAGGTGCATTTTGGGTGCTATGGCCATAGACAATTCTTTTTATTCAAATGAGTATTTCTTAGTATTAAACATTCTAACGCTCTAAAATTGTCAACTTTTTAATACAGTCAATTTTAGTAGTATCTTTTATAATTCTGAAAGCAAGCTACTCATTTCAATCTCTCTGGCATTTAACACATTTTTTAATCTATTAATTTGTTCATGAGTCCACTCAGCCAACTAATACTTCTGGAGTATCACCATTAGATGGTTCTATGCCAGGTAACAGGGTGACAATGGTGAGAACCAGTACAATTCTTACCTTCACAGTGTAAAAGGACTATTAGACAGCTAAGGATGTAAATAACCACGTAATAATAAACTGTGCTAAATGCCAGAATGGAAAAAACCAAGGTACTATCAAATGTCCATCAGGGGCCTTGCCTCTCTGAGGGAAGGATGTCTGCAGTGAGATCTTAAATAACAGGCAGCGGGAAGAAGGCCGTTTGTCCAAAAGCTTGAGAGGCAGGAAGAAAATGTGCAGAGATCAACTCACTTGTATGCTTTTTAAAGGCCTTTAATTCTTACAATAAGTGCATCAGCAAACTTAACGAAGTTAAGTAAGGACATAATTCGATTTCAGTTGTACAAAGCTAAATCCAGCCACAGCAAGGAGAAGGAGTGAAAGGCTGCAATGGCTGATGCAAGGCCGCTGAGTAAGTAGCTGTTGCGCCATTTTAGACAAGGGCAGCCAGAGTAGAGAGAAGGGAGGTATTTGTGAAAGCCAGTATAAAATCAGCAGGATTTGGTTTCTGACAGGATAAAACGGGTTGACACTCAGGTTTTAGATCTGCATAAACTAACCTCCATCATTACCGTAAAACATAATTGCCTTTTCCACCCATTTATGTACTTATGCAGTAGCTATAGCCTTTACTAAATCATGTCTATTTTTACCTGATTTCTCAGCATGATGTCTAGAAAATCGCAGATACTTGGCTAATAATTGTCAAAATGATAAACGGGTAGATGTTCTTATTCCTATCAGAGGTAAGAACACTTGGAAGAGAAATTGGTAAGGATATCCTGAATTAAAGCGCTTTTGACAACTACTATTTACAGGTAACAATCATCTGTAAATAACACCACAGATCACACACAATATTCAACCAAGACTTTTCTTTGGAGACATACTATATTTAATTAAATTGGTTTTAAAATTAAGACTAGGCACATGAAAATTTTTAATGGGGCTTAGAGATATTTTGTAGGCTACATTACACACTGATTATGTGTTAGGAGAGAAGGAGAGACGGAGGGAGAGACATACATTTAGTGGATACAAGTAATGTTATTAATCTGCGTAAACATGTCACTTTATGGAGATAAAATACCTCGACATAAAATTATTGGATAGTGTGGTGAGTTTATACTAACTTTCTAAAAAGAATATTTAAGAGAATCTAAAATTTATTTTTATTTGAACTTTATAATATACTTTCTTTGTATTTCTATAATTTTTGTGTGTGTGGGTGTTTTTTTTTGGTACCAGGGATCAAACTCACGACCTTGCACTTGCCAGGCAGGCGCTTATGCCACTGATCTATATCCCCAGCCCCATATTTCTAAATTTTTGCTGGTGGAATTTTTGTTTGACATGTGAAAGTTATGATTGCTACTTCTATATTCAGTGTCTTATATTATGATCTTTATCCTATGTAGTACTCTCTAAACTCTAATATTAACACAGTCGATTCTGCCACCTTATTTGCACTATTAGGTATCTGGTAAGCCTATCCCTTTCTTTTCAGTTGTTTTTAGTTCTAGAAGATGGTATTTTTAGTTCTGGAATGCCTTGGGATCAAAAAAATCCTACAGAATTATTTATGAAAGTCAAACTATTTTCATAGCAAGCTTATGTGAATATTTTAAACACTTCAGATAGGTAGAATAGTACAGTAGTTATAAGCACACAGGTTTTGGAAGCTGACCTCCAAGGTTGAATGTGACTGTCACACAGATTAAAAAGTTAAAGCAGAAAAAACATGTGGCATAGCCAGTAAAGGCTAATGGCTATTGCTGGTGTTCACTGAGTTAACATTCGTTGCTGCTACTATTAGTATTATTTAGCAGTACTGTATTGTATTACAAAGTTTCCAAATGGGATCATTCCATTTGGAGATAGGGCTACATGACTGAGATGTTATACAATGGAAGAATATACATACAGCAAAGTATACTTTAGACAGCTAAGGATGTAACTAACCACGTAATAATAAACTGTGCTAAATGCCAGAATGGAAAAAACCAAGGTATTATCAAATGTCCATCAGGGGCCTTGCCTCTTTGAGGGAAGGATGTCTGCAGTGAGATCTTAAATAACAGGCAGCGGGGAGTATAGCAAAGTACATCCTTAAGACAGAAAACATTACAGGCTGGGGATATAGCTTAGTGGCATCAGCACCTGCCTGGCAAGTGCAAGGTCCTGAGTTCGATTCCCGGTACCAAAAAAAAAAAAAAAAAGCAGTAAGAAAACATCACATATAATGGTGTTTATGTCCAAAGGAAGGGGTGAGCTCTTCAGCTGAGAAGTACAAAGTGGGTCTCACACTCAAGAATAAGAGACTGTCTTGAATCTGATTTTGAATCTCAGGCAGGCAGCAGGAACTATAAATTAGAGATCATGGCAGTAACAAGTCCATGATATACAGACTGACTCCGTATCTGTCATTCTTTTCTCCATTAGATTAGTAATAAAACTTAAAAACAAAGAAATCCTAAACAGTAACAACTGGCTAACAGGATATGGTGAAATGTTACTATAAATACCCTTAGGCCTGTTCAGTTAAAGGAATACATGCTCATTTATTACTGGATGTAATGTGAACACAGTATATGAGAGATAAAAATTATCACCCACAACAGAACTACCATACAGCAAAACATGAACACTACTGCTTGATACAGAAATGTAAGCTGAAATGCTGTACAATGTGCTTACCATTGCAGCCTTCAGTGCCGCAGAGTCTAAGTTGGGCAAATTGGCTAAACAGCCCTATTAAAAAGACAAAAAACAGGAAGTGAAGAAACTGGGGTACACATTTTAGTTACTGATGTCCTACAGCCCACTGGTGGACTGTTCAAATTTAGAAAATCGTTTAACCATTTCCCAAGAACTAAAGCATTATGTCTTCAACTTCAGTGAGAGCAGGGACTGTGATTCTGAGGAAGTACGAAGCGTGTGAGTTTATCAACAATGGAAATATCATGATACTTCAGATTTACTTATAGGCAAGAAAAATCAATGAAGCATTGGAGGAGATTTAGAGACTGAAGACTTTCAGAGAATTTTATAAAATATAGAATGGCAGAAGAATTGGTTGCCACTAGTTTAAATTTGATTCCAGAGATCTTCATTTAAGAGTTGTTGGGCTAAAACATACTCATCATGTTAATGTCCTCTTTGCTTTTTAAATGAAGTTGGTTTATTTGATGTTCTAGAGTTCTTAACATTCTATTATCTTATTTCCACTGGGTTTCTATAATTTAACAGGCTCCTATGCTGGCCACAAGAACTGTTTATTTTTCTCTTAAGGATTTGTTAAATTAAAGAGGATAACTGCTATTTATACAGTAATCTATGCATTCAGTTACCTGAAAAACAAATGTACGACTGAAAAACTTACCAGTACAATACCCTTTATACATTTTAGACTAATTTCTATATATTTTTATTACTTTAATCAAAATTATTTGTGGTAGAAAAGATAATTAGTATTTTGGGAGACTCTACAGTGGATATCTCAGGCAGTCATCTAAGAACCATTAAATATATTATCTCATTTAATGTTGACAACAATCCTGTAACACAGATATCATTATTACCTCCAACCTGTAGCCGAGCAAATGGACACAGAGATATAAGTTACTTTCCCAGGAAAACACAGCTAATAGTAGAAGAACCAAGATTCAAATCCAGAGTCCAGCTCTAAAAATCAGACTTTACATTAGCCAAGGGCTCAAATTAGGAACATCTATCCTTACCTGTTCAGGTTTATGTTGCTGCACAGTGTTGTAGATGTAACTCAAGCCTACTCTAGTTAAAACATAAGAGGCTTGCTCATTTATAAGTGTGTCCAAATGTGCTTCAATCTAAAAGAGAACATAGAAAGGAATTTTAAAAGAGGAGTAACACTGATGAGACTGAAAACAGACTACCCTGAGGCTGAGCTCATCACAATGGGTGTTTCCTTAAGGTGGCGCAGATCTTTGAACTGAAGTGGCTCTGTGAAATCTAAGATGGAAATGATGGGAAAAGACACATGCCTAATTATAGAAGGCACAGGATGCCCTCCATAGCAGAGGCTTTTTCTTCCTCCTATGAGGAAGTCTTCCTAAAAGAAAGAGAAAGTCTTACTTTAAAAAAAAAAGGTTTCCAGGAATAAACGTTAGTCAAAAATACAATTTGCATCTCAAACTTTTAAGAACTGATAATAAACAGAACAGAAACAAAAAGCACTGGCCACAACTATGTGAAATAGAGTACTTAGATGAGGCCTGACCCGCTGGCCTCCCGACCCCCAACATGCTGCGCTGACCCAACACACCGGACCAAGCATCTGGAGAAGCCGCAGGAAATTCCACTGCAGCTGAGGCAGTAAATTTTCCTGAGGATAAAGTAGGCCGATGTCAGTAGGGAGAGAACCAAGGCCCCAGAAGACCCTTAGTCAAAACATTTCAGGTTCTGAAACGGCCCGAGAAGACACAACTGTGCTCCCCAGCTCCATGCTCTCTCTGAAGAAGTCCCCGATCTAATAGGGCACAGAAGGCAATGATGAGGACTATTTTGATTCATTAAAGCATTTCCCAGTGGGAAAAAGCCTGCTCCTTCCTTGTTTCGCCACAAAAGCCTGAAAGGCTGGAGACTGTCCTCTACTCCTCACCAGAAAGTTCCCTTAGCGTTAAAGGTTTGCCAATGTCACAGACCACTGCCCACAATATTACCTGTCACCTGAATGCTTGCCTAGTTCAAGCAACTCCGATAGCCGCTTCCCCTTAAATAAATGACAAAGGAAGTACCATGACAGCCCTTATTTACTGCACTTACGAGAAATCAAAGAAAAACAAGATGTATAAATGTAAACATTTAATAAATACAAAAAATAGAATAATTACCACTATAAACCAAATTAGGGGTCTGAAAGAAAAATGGAAGAAAAGTAATAAAGAAAAAATACCAAAGACACAGATCAAAGTGAACAGAATTGAAGTCTTCTTTTAAAGAAATTAGAGAACAAATCTGTAAGATAAAATCAACCAGAAGCTTCAAAATATAAAACAACATGACACATGCAGAAATGATGATTAAAGAAATAATGAAAATCAGTGAACAAAAGGAAGGTGTAAATCTCCAAACTGAAATGGCACTGTGAAGTCTAAGGAAATAATGAGAAAAGAGATAAACCTAAAATATCCTGGGGAAATACCGGTACTCAAAGAAATACTTTAAGCTTCCAGATGGGTAGACACGTTTACTGTAGGCAAAGGATAATTTACTAACCTAGTGTTTCCCTTGAAACACTGGAAGAAACTAAGAGTGGAAGAATGTTAATAAGATGACTGATGAAAATAAACTAATTCTTTGGAGGATTCCAGTAAGCCACACCTCTCTCTCACGGGCCAGGCCCATGTTTGGCCTTTTCCCATAGTAAACCTAGGATATTCCACACAGCCAGCACCAGCCAACGTTGTTAGCAAGCTCTATGTCAGTACAGGGAGCACCCCTTTTGAATGTCCACCTACGGGGTCTGGAGTGGGGGCTTGAGGGTAGTGAGAAAACATCTACTGGAAACTGGAGAAAGAAGAACCTGAATTATCTGCTGGTGGAAGAATTAGTAGCAATGCCACTAGAGGAATAAAGACCTGTCCAAGGAGATTTCCGGAGAGAAAAGTTGAAATACATGTATCAAGTTCAGTCGATATGTTCAACTGGGGGCTGGGGATGCCCAAAGACATAAACTTAAATAAACAAACTCAACAGGTAGATGATTTTGTTTGTTTGCTTGTTTTGGGTACCGGGAATCGAACTCAGGACCTTGCGCTTGCCAGGCAGGCGCTTATACCGCTGAGCTACATCCCCAGCCCTCAACACATAGATGAAGCAGTTGAATATCCAACAAGTAAAAAGTGCAGATAACTAGTAACGAGCACAGAATACTTGATATATCTGAGTATCTTTTGAAAACATTTAGACAAATGTCAGAGATTGAATTAGCGACAAATAACAAAATTTCTTTTAATTTTTAAAATGTTGATAATTCCATCAAAAACAAAAAAGTTATTCAAGAAAGGAAAATTAACCAATTTTCATTATATGGCTCAGCTATCAGTACTATTTACACAGCAAGAATAATTTATACAATATTACACAATATCACTGGAAAGATGATACAGCTCTAAATGTGGTCATTTCCTGTGTGTGTGTATGTGTGTGTATGTGTGTGTGTGTGAAAGAGAACTGTATTTGTAACATCCAGAGTGAGAGTTTAATATGTTAAATCCAAACAAAAACTGAAAAAACTCTGTAAGCAGCAATACACACAGGCATTTAGAGTTATAAATACCAAAAGAAGTGAGTATAAGAATGAAGCAGCTGGGTGTGGTGCACACCTGTAATTGTGCACTTCGGAGACTGAAGCAGGAGAATCGCCATGAGTTTAAGGCCAGCCTGGCCTATACAGTGAGCTCAAGGATTTCATTAGGTGTAAGGTGTAAGGGAGACCATGTCTCAACAAAACAAAACAAGAGAAATGAGAGGGAGATGTTAGAATGGAGAGGATGGTACACCGCGCTTTTATATAATAAACCCCAACATAACATGACTTTAAGTTATGGATATTGATAATTGTGAGGTATTTCTTTTAAAAGGAAGAATGAGAAAATATCACAAATTTAGATGTACCAAGATTAACTTCTCATAAAAATTCAAAACCTAACAAATGAACTCTTACTATATCCTGTACTAAATTGTTTAGATACTTGTAATAGATCCATGCTTTTTTCTTTCTTTTTAAACATTCTATCTACCAATATTACTATAAAATTGGAACCTAAGTATCCAGTAACTTTTACAAATGTCTTCATTTTAGCCACCATGCAGACTTTTAAGCAACACAATTTGACTTATAGGAATAGTGGTACAGCAAATAGTAATGTTCTGCCTAACACTACTTTACACATAGATAAAAATATATCTGTCCTCTGTAACACATTCTGCACTAGCTACACAGCTTCAAATATACAGCATGCTATTCACAGTTCGGAATTTTGAATCTGCACGCAGCACTGAATAACCATTCAAATAGAAAAAACTTCATGCTAACACTCTATATTATGGTCTGAATCAAGTACCTTCATCATTTCATATTCTCGCTTCACCAAAGCTGAAAAACAAAATACTGTATGTGTGTGTACATGTGTTTAATCTTCCGTCAGACTATATCAAAGGATTTGTAGGAATTAGGTCAGTGAACTCAGCCAAAGCCAGTAACTTAAAGCTATCACATGAAAGAAAAAAATATTTCACCACAGTGAATAGACATTTTATGGCAAAAATTTACCTGAAATTGTAGCATTTCTAGACGTCTGTCAGTGAACTCAAATAAGGCTAATGTTGTTTTCATCATGTAGAGTGAATTAACCATGAAAGTGGCCATGTCAGCTGTGCCTAAATTGCTGGCTGATACTGTACACATCTGGAGCAGAGGATCCAAGACACATGACAAAACCTATGAATGGAAAATACAAGTAACTCTTTACTCCTAATCAGCGATTAGGTCCTGAATTAATGGCACTGCAGAATTAACGCCAAGCTAAGTGGAAGGCAGTCAACATTCAGACACACATGAAAAAAGATTAAATGATATAATAACTACACAGTTCTAAAAACCAGCATTAACAAATTGATACTTTTTAAAAAAGGATCTAGTTTAACATCAAAGGAATATCAGCAACTAAGGAAAAGACAAAGTATTTTGGACACAAATGCCGGTTCCAAACAGAATGCAGAGTGGAGGAGTCCAGGGCAATCACCCCACACGAACTTACAAACTACCTGCGCAAAGTCAGCTTGACGAGCATCCAGTGGCACGACTGAAGAATCGTGAGATGCCAAAACCTCACGCAGCAACAAGAGTGTCTGATTTAGGGCAGAACTTGGTCCAAGATCAGGTGGTGGGAGTTCCACCTAAAATAAAGAATGGGTTATCCACGGTTTATATATTTCCACTAAATTTTAAAGTATACGTCCGAGCTCATGGTAAAATAGTATACATGAAGAACATGGGGTAACCCACTAAAAATCTGTAAATTATCAGCCACTTATTCTGAAGTATAAATAAATTATACTACTCATTTTAAAACACAGAAGAAACGACCATATTTATACTACAAATATACTATGTAGTATAAATTATCAGCCACTTATTCTGAACCAGCACAGAAAGGGACACAGTGTTTTTTTCAGATTACCTCAGAAGTAATGTAACTTTGGAGCTGGGGATTTAGCTCAGCGGCCAAAGCGCCTGCCTGGCAAGCGCAAGGTCGTGAGTTCAGTTCCTGGTACGGGAGAAAAACCAAAAAAAAAAAAAAAAAGAAGTAATGTAACTTTGTACCCTACAGATCAAAACCTCGTTAAGATGCAATTCAGAGACAATGCTATCCAAGCTCCCAACTATAATACAGCTGAGAAACATCCCCTACTGTAAGGTCCAAATCTCATGGATCTTGGTTCATTATGTCTAGGTTAAAGGTTCAGGAACTGATCTTTCAACAAGTATTTATGAAGAATGTCAGAAGGTTAGTTCATGGGCTACACACTTTGAAAATCACTTCACAGAATTAAAATCTTGGACTCTGCAGCTAAATCAATTTCAAATCTTGGGTCTATCACTTAGTTACATTATCTTAGGAAAGTGAGTTAACTTCCCAGAGCTTCAGAGGGATTCTGTAGGAGTTAAGTGGAATTCTTGTACCTAAACTGCCCAGGAGAACATCTGGCCCTTAATAACTGGAGGGTATGCCAGCTCATTACCCGCTTAAGGGCATGATACCTGAGAAGATGTAACTGAATTTTTCATTTATTTTATGTATCTTTAGTAGGAAAAAGAACACAGAAAATTTATTACATGCCTAAGGCATGTAAGTATCAAACTCTTGTAGTACAGTTTTAAAGAACATTTTCAGATTACTTAAATGTTTTAAAGAACGTTTTTGTAAATGAAACAAAATTCGATGCTTAGGATTCCACGCAGGAAACAACAGCCTTATATCAGGCACAAATATCTATAAATATCAGTTTTTATTTTAAGAATGATTCATATATAAAAGTTAATGCAGAAGGGACCTCAGCAGGACTAGCAGAGTAAGGACCTGTGAAAATCCTGTCTCCTTTATAAAGGTAAAAACAAAAATTTATGAGATGTGAGCAAACACATAAAATGTTCATTAAACAAAAAAGTAAACAGAAACCCTCCCTGAGAGACCACAGACACTGGACTTATTAAACAAAGACTTTAAATCAGCTATTGTAAATATCTTCAAAGACCAAAGGAAACCATGTTTGATTAACCAAAGAAAAACAAAAAAATAACATTTCTACATATTGATAGAAATTACTAACAAACAGAAAGTATCAAATAAAAATTGTGGAGTTGAAAACACAATAAATGAGATGAAAATTTTATTACAAGGATTCAGTAGTAGTAGGTTTAAGGAACCAGAATAAGTAAGAAGTGATCCTGAAGACAGGCTAATATCTACTCTGGGGAAGAGAATGAAAAATAAGTGAAGGAAAAATCAACAGAGCTTCAGTGATCACGGGACTACATCAATAACATAAGTATTATCAGAATTCCAGAAGAAGTAGGGAGAAAAAAGAATATCTGAAGAAATATGGCATATAACTTCCCAAATTTAAGGAAGAATACTTATGTAAACATACAAGAAGCTCACTGAACTTTGGCATAAATTTAAAGCAAGCCACATTGAAACAATCACACTGTCAAAAGGTAAAGAGATGATCATGAAACCAACAAATTGGCAGTAACTCACTACGAGCAAAAAACTAGTACTAGAGGTTCCATTCGACCCCGCTATCCCCCTTCTTGGTATCTTACTGAAAGAATTAAAAGTATCACACCGTGACAATGTATATGCACATCCATGTTTACAGCAATATATATGTGTGTGTGTGTGTGTGTGTATGTATCTATCTATATATATGGATGTTTCTAGCTAAATGGATGCACCTTGAGGACATACTCTTAAGTGAAGTAAATCAGACACACAGGTGTAAATACTGCTTTGTTTCTCTGGGGGAAAAACTGAAAGTGTAAATAAGGACCAAAATATATAACAGATACTGTGAAATGGGAGGAAAATGTTCAAATGGGAAGGAACTAGGGAGGGGACAGGGGAAAAAGAAGGAAGGGAAAAGAAAAGAAGTAAAAAATGGAAATAAAGCTTTTGAAAATAAGGACAGGAAGAGGGTTGAAAGGTGGGTAGGGGAATGGGAAAAAAAAAAACAAAAAGATACAAGGAAAAAATCCCCAAGAAGAAAGGGAACAATAAGGAAAACCAAAAAGGAACAAACAAAACAAATAAAAAAAAAAAACAGAAATAAGATAAGAAAAATATAATTAGACAGTCCAGTTCCACATATTTAATTTTTTCTGGCACAATTTGTTTCATACATGAGAGTTAGGAAGTAACTCCTATTAAGGCTTCTCTGAGCTTAGAAGACTGAGGACTGATCAACTACTCAAGTGGATTCCTGATTACTCTATACTCCGTTATACTATGCTATACTGCAAAATCTATGCCTGTACGATCAGCCCGTTAGAGTAGTAAAATCAAAAAGTGAACATGGTGAGAATGATGCATCCCTGAAAAATTTGAATCCTTAATAATGAAAAAAAATTTTAAAAAAACTGATTATTATAAACCCATTCCTCATGTCCTACCACAATACTTTACTCATTTTAAAACATCAGACCTATGGATCTCTCCTACGTTTCTGTGAACTTTTGTGGGCTTTTTATCTCTTTATTTGTTTTCAAATAGCTATAGTATATAACTCAGAGAAGCATAAATTTCATAAGGAAAAAGCTGAAACATCAGAGAGTAAAAATGTAACCATGTGGAAAAAAATGTAACACAAGAGTTCACCTTTTCCAATTTGTATGTCATGTTAGCTCCTACCTAAATATACTAAGACTGCTTTATACATTTTTTGTTACAGAAAAAAATGGTAGTGAAATTAGGGCTTGACATTCTATCTTCAACTATGATTCAACAGTAGACTATCCAGAAAGACCAACAATAAACATGGCCCAGGAAGCCATCTCAATATGACAAAGTTTGTTGTTCATCTGAAGAACTCAGAAGAACACTGTATAGAGTGGGGAGCAAAATCAGCGTGAAAACATTAAAACCATACCTTTACGAGTAAACGATTCACATACCACAAAATATAAGAACTACGTTTTTTAAACATACCTTATCCATTAATTTACTTGCATGAAGACTCAAGCTATTGAAGAATATTTTTTTGCTTAGCAAATGCATTTCTTCAATGGTGGTTAATAAAGTAGTTGCACTATTTCCAACAATGCCACTGAAAACAAAGAATATTGCAGGTTGCAAAACAAGCTACAAGAATTCAGCTTTTTGAGTAAAATGCTGAAAAATATCTAGATTTATACTCCCATTTTTTGTATGTAGAATACAATTTGGGAATTAAAAACAACTACTCTACTGTAATTATACTTGTAATGTAATACAATTACTCTATTGTACTTTATAGTAATTGTAAACAATCACTCTAATTGTAACAAAACAACTATACTAGTAATATTATAATCTATTATATTAATTATATAATATCATATAATTTTTATACTGAATATATACTAATATAATTATAAGTAATTATAATAGTGATTATAAACAATTACTCTATTGTAATTGGTATTTTACACAAAGATCATATAAAAAATAGATTTTAAGTTTCATAATTAAGAAAAAAAAACTGAAGGTTAAGCAGCCTTATTTTGAAAATGCAAAATTAAAAATGTTCCAAAACCAGAAACTTTTTGACTGTGATGTCAGTGTTCAAAAACTTTCAGATTTCAGGGCACTCTGAATTTTGAGTATTCAAATTATGGATGGTCAACTGGCAAAGTCTATGTAAATATTTCTAACTCCAAAAAACATGACATCTAAAACACTTCTGACCCAACGAATCTTGGATAAAGGGCACTCAGCCTATATATGATTTTAGTGTTTCACCATCTCTTTTAGCAAAAATGTGGGTTACAAACAAAATCTGTAATGTGTGAACCTGTATCTCCATTTTTTTCTACTATAATAAACATGTGCCTTGATTATCAAGGAAGGTGTAATTTTAATTTTAAGAAAGGCATTCCATCAATAGCTCTACTATAAAAAAACAAATTGTATAAATACTTATAATTAAACTATTATGCCATATCATTGACATAGCTATAGTTTCTCAATTTTATGTAGCTGCTTAAGTAACAGTATACTTAAAAAACAGTGTATTTTAAAAAACCTGATACTTTGAAATAATTTCATTACCACATTTCATAATCCTCAATTTGTTATTACAGGATATTCCTTAAACCTACCCAAAAGGGGTCTGCCATTTTTGCCAGAATCTAAGTATGTATACAAAACAATTGCCAATTTGATTTTCCTAGTTTACATACTGAAAGTAATTTTAAAATTTTTTTATGGAAAAAGCTGTTTGTAGATAAGAAAATATACTGTAGTCCAGCACGTAATCATAATTTCTAATGGCACAGGAACATCATACTATGCCTGAAATAATTTAGACAGCCGAAGATAAATCATGACATCAGAATACACAAGTAAATATTATGACATCATGACAAGAGAATACACAAGTAAATATTAACCTAAGTCATGGAAAATTTACTGATAAATTATACACTACACTGACATGAGAAAAAATGTAATATAAAATAATACATGTTTTTCATATATTCTGAAACTAAAATTGGATATATTCTGATACAGGTCATGCAAACAAAGCAAACTATCAGTAAAAATAAGTGTCAAGCAAATTGTAAAATACTTGTAACAAGAATACCTGTACATTTTTTAAAAAAAGGATTTCAGTTAAAAAACATATGCTAAACTCCAAAATAAACTGGAACAAATTCCCGTATGTGCCTATATGTGCAATAATAATAATTCCCCAAATAAAA